CAATGCCTCCATCCCAACACTCCAAGCCACGGTCACATCTCTGCCATGCCGTAGGGTTTTTTGCTCCCAAATATAGTCCAAAATCATGTCAGAAAATAGAGGATTCAGTTCTGGCGCCAGAGGCCCAGGCAGGAGAGGGTGTTGGGCCACTGTCCCTCCCACTGCCCCTCCCACCGCCCTGCCCTCTCCCTCACCTTAGTCACGGTCCATTGGCTACAAACCAGTATAAGCAGCTTGGGTACCGTTGGCCTTTGGACATCATAAAAACGCCACAGTGAGACCAAGACATCTCAGAGCACAAAGTTTCCATGACGTTCCCTAGTAGGTGACCCCAGGGTCCCTGAAGGAATCTGCAGGCTGGGAGGTATGAGAAAGGAGGGGGATGAGGAGTCACATTGCCCCTTATTTCTGCTGTCTGGGCAGGAAGGTGGGGGACTGGAGGCCAGAGAATCGAGGAGGCTCATTGGGTCTCAGATTGGCCAGAGTCAGGGGAATGGTTAAGATAAACTTGGATAAGTTACAGCAGGCTGGTCGGGGTGTAATAGTATGTGGGAGTCAACCCAAGGCAAACCACTGGCCCAGTCCTATCAGCCCTGAATTCAGTCACTTAATTATAGGCAGAGTTATCGACATGACACCCACTTAGGACTGGGGGACACCAGAATGAAACTGGAGGAACTCCTCTGGGTAATGGGAGAAAGAACCATGGACCTAAATATTGTTTAAGGGAGGGAGTGATCATCTGTCCGCCATGATCTATGGAGTTCCGAGGGAGCCTAGTTGAGGACGTGCTGTTTCGGATGCCCCCTGACAGGCCCCGCAGATGGAGGAGACGGGAGTGGCAGCAGGACCGTGGGTGGTGGGCAGGCTGGTGTAGGCGTATCGGCCCCCTTCAGTGGGCTATGGGGGCCCGAGGGGCAGGAGGAAGGGTTTTGTGAGGGCTGAGGCTAGGGTCTGAGTTACCTGCTTCCTCCTCCATCTCACAGCCTTTTTTAGCCCCTCTTCTTCCCCCCACTCCACCCCCTGCCCCCACCTTGGTAGCTCCAGGTAGGGACCTTGAGCCCATGTCAAAAGCACTGCTGGTGGAAGCTTGTGTCCTGATGGGCTCAGGCTGCCTCCCGTCAGTCACAGAATCTCCCCTTGTGGGGGCGGGGGGGGGGCGTCTTCCTGTGTGGCAAGAGCATCTGCAGAGGGACACAGATACCCCCAGATGGAGCTGACCTCAGGCCTGCTCACACCGTGTGTCCGCAATGGCGTTTCTTGAGGTGACCATAAGCCAGTCTGTGAATACAGTTGGGGGGGGGGGGGGGTGGAAACAAGACAATAGACATTTATTTTAAATGTCTTCTATTTATTTGAATGGCTTTTAAGAAGCAGAAGCCCATGTTGTAAAATTAAGGTCAGGCAAGCTTGAGGAGTGAGAGGGACCCACATGGACAAGCACGCAGCGCCCTTCGTCATGTGACTGGGAAAATGCTGCAGAGCCAGACGGAGCTGGGGGCTGGGGAGGACTGACTGTGGCCCAAGGGAGGGCAAAGCTGAGAAAAGTATGAATAGTCTTCTCTCTCCTCAGGCAACTGAAGTCCCACAGATAAAGAAGCACGTGACCCAGCTGTTCAAGGAGGCACTTAGGAGGTTCGCCATAAAAAGGGATCCAAGAAGGTTAGGTTAGAACAGGGGTGTCCAGCCCGCAGGTCACATGCGGCCCAAGGTGGCTGTAAATGTGGCCCAGCACAAAATCATAAATTGACTTAAAATATTATGAGATCTTTTTGTTTTCATTAGTGTTTGTATATTTAATGTGTGGCCCAAGACAACTCCTCTTCTTCCGGTGTGGCCCAGAGACGCCAAAGGTTGGACACCCCTTGGTTAGAAGGAAGACCAGGGTAGCTCACGTTTGCAAAAGGCAGAGGTAGAGCTATCATTAAGCAAATGGCATAAAATAGGGCTTCTGACAGGCAGATACAAACATACCGTGTGTTGAGGCTTCATTTTAAATCTTGTTCTAAATTGGGGGCACTGAGATGCTTTTAAGTAGAAAACTAGAAGTCAAGGACACGTGTATTATTAAGTTAATAAAGAAGTTTGTATGTACACAGTGTAAAACACACAGGAATGAGCTGGGTTCTCTATCAGGTCTCTTGAAGATGTAAAACTCTGTCAATCTGCGTGTAACGTCCTTACTCTCAGTTGCTCAGTCCTGAAACACTCCGTTCTCTGGACCGGAGCCAGAGGGTGCAAGCTGGAGACTGGAGGGCCAGATTTAGCTTCCAAGGTGTGTTTTATTTGGCCTTCACAGTGTTTTCTAGATTTAAAATAGTTGCCAACATGTAAACGTCCAGATTTGTAGTTCCCCTTGGAAAATGGGACGAAGCGTCTGGCAAGACCAGCCCCCGTACCCACAGGGCAGCAACCACGTCAAACAGAGAACGTGGTCTCCATTTCACCAAAGACCCTGATGAGCCCTCTTCGCTTTTTTATTTCCCGCCTGGCCCTCGGAGGCATCAGGGTTTGGAGCCTGGCCCAGGCAGTTTGCCTGCCGTGTTCTCATGGTTTCCTATTTGGTGGCAGTTGCAAGTCTGGCCCTGAGGCCTTTCCCCTAATCCCACGCAGACCCATCCCCACAGTCGGCCCGTGGAGGCACATCTACCCGGAGCGTGGGAGTCAGTGACCCCAGTCTACCGAGCTCCGGCTTGTCTTACAGACGAGTAACTGAAAGTTGCCAGCCATGTTCTACTTACACAAATTGAATCCCAAAGGCCTCTGAGGGATGGCCCACCAGGGAGATGCTTCCTGACCAAGGCCAACGAATGGTAAAGCACTTCTGGGCCAGGCTAGAACACACGAGCAGAGGAAGGAACCCCAGTCCAGGCTGGGCTGAGCCAGCGGGTGCAGTGCAGAAGGCAGCTTCCCCCTCCGTGGCCATGAAGTGACCAGGGCAGCTATGCGCAGTTGGTGGGTTTGCAGCTGCCTAGGAGGTACCACTGAGGTCATAGTGTGAACGGCTCCATCTGGATTGGTGTACTGCACCACCTTCCCCACTGCACATGCTGGCCCTGGACTGTGAGGGAGAGGGGGGAAACAAGTGGAGATGGTGAGGCAGGCACAGCCAAAAGGAGTGTCCTGGCACAGATTCCACCATTTCCTTCTTAAGGCAGAAGGGGGTAGGGCAGGGAGGCAGAGCGTTAGAAGCCAAGACCTTGTTGCCCAGAGGCGAGAGTCTGGAGAGAAAGAAAGGGCCTGGCCTCAGAGCCCCCGTGCCGCGCAAGTGCAAATGCCCACAAGATGACGGAAATAGCCGGAACTAGTCCCAGGAAGCAGGGCTGGCCATCAGGGTGTGGGGCTCGGGACACTTAGTCAACAAATAACCATCCCATACACACGCGCATGCACTCTCACACACACACAGAGAATAACCTAACAGAGATGTCCGACCCATTACACACACCTACATAAACATGCATACAATGCAGTTTTTATCCTGTGGTGCACACTGAGTGTGCCATACACATGACCACAATTGTTGGTAAGAGCAATTAGCTCCTCAGACAGGTACACTTAACAAACACTTTCAGAGCATCTAAAGTACAATACTTTTTGGCTAAGCTACCTGTGGGAGTCCAACACAGCACCAAGTACTATGGAAGGAGAGAAAAGTAACCAGTAAATGAAACCGTGATCAACTACCACCACAAAGAGCTGCGTGCGGGCCTGCAGCGCCACCTATTGGCAGGAGAGGTGCTTGCACTTCGATTGAAGAGCGAGCAGGTGAAACCATTGACGACACTGCTTCTCAGGCACTCCTCAGGAAGCCGCCACCTGCTGTTCTCCCTCTTTGTCTTCTGCTGGAGTGGGGTGAAACCCTGGCAATCTCAGAGTCGCACTACAGCATCAGAAAATAAGCATTCAGGGCCTTGCATGCCCCATCCAATATCCAATGTGGATGGCAAAATAGGTTTTCGTCTTTCATGGCCACTCCAGCGCACTGGTAGTGACTGCCTGGGATGCCTGGGCTTAGCAGAGGGGCATCATGATGGGACAGCGACAGCAACCATGGCTGTAGGCAGGGTGGCTTCCACACGTGTTCTTGCCATGGATCCTGGAACCTTGGTAAACTCCTGAAGGTGCAGACTTCTCCTGCTCCGCAATTCTATCACAAGGTAGGTGTATTTCTTGCCCGTACCTCTCAGCACAAGAAGACTGCCATCCCAGGTTTCACTGGAGTTTTCTCTCTCACTTGATCAGTGACTCCTGAGCCAACTAAGGCCTCATGGGGACGGTCCTAGTGAAGAGCTTGTTTTTGCTTCCTCGGAGAGCGATGGACGGCTTGTCAGATCTGAGCACCGAAGCCCACGCTGGGCACTTCACCCGAAATTCATAGTTAGCAAAGTCCCATCCCCCCACTGGCATCTATCATTCCCAGGTGGCCCCAGGAGGGCAGTGACAAATCAAGAACAACAAAACCACCCTGAGCAGACGCTGGACAACCGGCTGGGCTTAGCCCTAGACAGGAGCCCTGCTCCCTGGCCCTGGCCCATCAGCTGTGGGGTGGGGGGCACACTCAAGTCAAATCTGTGCATCAACCACATTTCGAATTACAACCCCCAAGGATCACTTGAAAGTAGTCAAAACTCAAAATCTCAGCTCCTCACCTGGCAAGGATCTGCTGAGCTTAACATCAAGGTACTTGGTTGGTGCCTGTGCGACTCTGCAGCCGCAGCAATGCCCACAGGCGTGCACGTAGCTCCCCTCAGTGCCCCGTGCTGCCCCCTCCACAGGGGAGCCAGCTTCTGCCCCTAAGTGCTTTGGTGCATGCGAGCTGGTCTCCCCCACTGACGAGCAAGTGGGGGTGTTTGCCCTAGCCCCTGGGTCAGCTAACTTTTTCTGTAAAGCGCCAGATAAATATTTTCAGCTCCATGATCTCTGTTGAAATAATTCATCTCTGCTATTGTAGTGTGAAAGCAGCCATCGATATATATAAACAAAGAGGCATGGCTGTGTTCCAATAAAAGGGTTTTTTTGTTTTATTTTTACAAAAACAAGTAGTGGGTTCTATTTGGCCCAAGGAACCATGGTCTACCAACCCTGCATTAGCCCCATGCAGGGTCTTTAAACTGGGTTCCTCAGAAGTTGGGGGTGTTGAGGTGCTCCAAGGGCTCTGTAAATGTCTGACTCTAATTTCAATTTGTCTTAGCTATTTAAGAAGCTATAAAAAATGTACCCACTCAAGTGTATTAAGCATTTTAACGTGCAGGAGGTCAGTGAGTTAATGGGCCGTCGGTGAACTACTTTGTTATGAATCTTGTATTGTCACCTCTCTGCACATGTCTGGGCCATACGGCAAAACGATTCAAAGCCTGGGCAGCCAGCCAGCTATGGCTTGAGCTCCTGTACTGCCACTTACTAGCTGTGTGACTGGGCAATTGCTTATTTCTCTAAACCAGCACGGGCACCACTGGCCGTTTTGCAGCAGCAGCAGCCCCCTGGAAGCTGCCTGAGAAGCCTCTTTAACTGGATGGTGGGAAGAGGGAGCAGTCACACTGGAGGGACCAAGGGAACTGGGGCCGCTCAGACCCACTCAGGGACTCGGTCTGGAGCCATTTACTAATGTTCTGAAGACACTTCAGCATTTTAAGCACCAGTTTGGCCCGACTGGTGCATACCAGTTGAATATCATTGTAACGCCAGATCCATCTTGGATTTGAACTTCTTACTAGTTTTGATTTATCCTGGCATTTTCTGCTATACCCCCACCATTCTGATAGGGCCTTCAGGAAGGGGAGGGGATGTCTTGCAATGATCTTAGCAGTCTCAGGGCTTACTTATATTAGGGTTTCTGGTTTTCTGCTAAGTGGCAGTTTCCAGTGGGTCTGGGACTTTGTTGGCAAGCATATCCTGGGACAAGTTCTGCAAGACCTGTTAGGCTGTGATGCTTTTGGCTGCAGGGGTCCAGGCCGCCAGGAACTGCAGTGTCTGGGCCCAGTGCTGCAGAGCACATAGGGTCTGAGACTTGAGTGCCCACCTGGCTTTTTAATTTGCCTGGTGAATGCTCCTCCTCAGCCCTTGAAACAATCAGGTGCATCTGACTACTGCCTAAACCTGCCCTCAGAACTTATGACCTTTTATTCCAGCCTCTGAAAGGGTTTTTGTTGTTGTTGTTGTTGTTGTTCTTTCCAGGCCTGAGATGCTCATTTATGGCTTCAGTAATAGAATTTGGACCCTCCTGTCTCTCATTGCCCAGGCCTGTCTGTGCCTATTAATGGTGGCTCCAGTGTGACCCAGGCTTTTGCTGCACCTTATCTTTGGCTTTCTGAGAGACCTGGAAGAATCAGCAGCATTTATCACTAGGGCCCGGGGGCAGGACTTTGCAGTTCCCAGAATCCCTGGGGTTTATCTTAATTAGGCGACATCTGGTTTGCTTTCACAGGGCACACTGTCCACCCTGATTGCACAGCCTACCCACCACTCTGTGGGCTCCCAGCTGGCTCTGAGAGCCCTGGGGGCTCATCCAAGGGGGTGATTCTGACTTAAGGGATGGTGGGCAGATGTGTCAGTGGTTCAGCCAAAGCCAAAGGTAACTTGGGCCCTGGCTGGCATAGCTCAGTGGATTGAGCGTGGGCTGCGAACCAAAGCGTTGCAGGTTCAATTCCCAGCCAAGGCACATGCCTGGGTTGCATGCAGGCCACAGCCCCCAGCAACCGCACATTGATGTTTCTCTCTCTCTTTCTCCCTCCCTTCCCTCTCTAAAAACAAATAAATAAAATCTTCTTTTTAAAAAAAGGTGACTTGGGTTGAGCTCTCTGACTTCCTTCTCATTTCCCTTTAGGTCTCATACTATCTCTGGTTGGCTTGGAATACGAGGAGAGAAAGGAGCTCAAAACTAGGCCCTCTGCCTTGAAAGCCTCCTCTGTTGCCCAAAAAGGTTGTGGCTGTGGATGAAAAGGACCTTGTGCAGACATCCTCATCACCTGCCCTTCCCCGATACGGCAGTCAGTGCTGGGCATCTGCCCCGGCACTCCACACCGCCTTGCCCTTCTGCCCCAGCACCCGCCTCTAGGTGCTGATGGTAAAACCCCAGCCAAGCACTTCCATTCTGGCTGAACTGTCGCTCATTTCAAGAACCACCTTTGTGTTCTCACTTTTTTCTTTTTCCTGGATGATCCTTCTGCAACAACTGCCCTACCTGCACTGCCCAGAACCTGTGCCCATTCAGACCCTGGGTTGCATCCTCAAAAGGACAAAGGTCAGGCTCTGGATGGCCTTTTACCCCCCTTTCCTGCCCCCACAAGCATTCCAGCTCTCCTGCACACACCTCCAGGCTCCTGCCCATTTTGACAGTACCTTTGGCTTTCTTCATAAAGCGCTTGATCACAGCTAGGAGTCCCCAGGAACTGGGCAATCAGCCCCTGCCCCCAGATGTCTGTTCACACCCCTAGGTCTTCCCAAGGGACCAGCCAATGGTGCCCACCATCCCTCCAGAGAGAACCGGGGTGGTCAGCAAAGGAGGAGGCCAACTCATCAAGCAGTGAGAATTCTACCCTGGAAGTGGTGACAAAGGGGCTGCAGGTGCTCCTGCAAGGGTGCAGGATTCATGGGTGTCCCTCCAAGGGTGTCCCTTGCACGCATCCCAGTGATGGAGAGCTCATTACTTCCACTCACAATTTCATATCTGTAGAAGCTTGTAGTGCACATTTCAGCTCCTTTCCTCTCTAACTGGCTACGGCCACAGACCAGACCTCCCACACACCCCACATCATCCCAGACGGGCCTTCCTTCCCTCAGGCTCAGCCTGGACAACCTCCCACTCCAGCCACTGAGCTCTTGCCCCCTGGGCCCACAACAGTAAACCCCAATACTCCATTTTCCCCCTCACTGGCAGGGCTGCTCAGTGACACAGCAGGATGCAATAATTGAGGGAGTGAGGGTTGAGGTGAGAGGCTTGGCAGGCAGGAACTGAACTTTGGCTACAAGCAAAAGCAATGGAAGCACTGAGCAGGCTGCCACTAAAGCTGCTCCCCTGGAAGTGCCTGCAGTGCCCCCTGCTGGCTGGGCCGGAGTTTGCATGCAGGCTTAATCCACTCCCTTATTCCTTTCAGACATCCCCTACCTGGCCGCAGCTGACCCCTGATGAGACAGATTAGAGGATCACAGGAAGCAAATGGGTCATCTTGTCAGGTGGTTTCCAAACATATAAAATTATAGGTAGGGTTGCTGTGGATGATGATTGTGCATTTTGCCCAGTTGACAAAGGCCTCTGGGCTGATGAGCCAGTGGGGGCTGACATCCCACTCATAGCCTGCTGGGCAAGCTGTGCACCCAGTGTGGATAGCCAGCCCAGAGGAAGGGCCTTCTCTGCATAATTCACCCTAGAGACAGCATCTTTGTGTGATCCGCACAAAGGTGCTATGTAGACCAGCAGCAGCCCTGGCACAGAATGCTTCCTTCAAAGAGGACAATCTTATAAAACCAAGCTTCTTCAGCTAAAGGAGAGTTTGAAAACCACCTAAAAGATGGGGAAACTGAGGCCCATGAAGGGGAGGGACTTGGTCAAAGTCATGCAGTTAATGCCAGGACAGAGCGCAGAGGCCAGATTCCCCTCTCTGTTGGAGAGGTGCTCTTCACGCTACACGGGGCTGGATTCCACCCCAGAGCCCTTTGCAGGCATCCTGGCTCCTCTGACCCTCCCACGCCCAGTGCCATCCACTTCCCCCTGAAGTCCAGCCACAGTCTTACTTTCCTAGCCAGCATCGTGGCCCAGAGCTGGCCCAGAACGAGAGCTGGTGAGGATGAGGATGCCACCCCAGTCTGCATGATTGCCTACTAGTACCTCACTCAGAGGGATGAGGGCAGACATGCAGCCAGGCAGTGTGGTAAGGGACTAGAAGGGTCGGTCCACTGGATGACATGTCGAGGTATGACAGGGAGCTGTGCCTGGAGCACTGAGGGTCAGTGAGGCTGGCAGCTCGGCTACTGTGCAGCTGGGGTCTGCTTCACAGGTGCAGTCCGCCGGGGTGTCTGTGCCACACCGTAAGGCACGTGGGCAGCCACTGTGCCCATCTCCTGAGCCCCAGCCACATGGAACATCTGGTCATCAAAGAAGATGTGTGGGCGGATCTTCTCGAGCAGGGGGCCCTTGGGCGCTCCCGCAAGGAACAGGGCTTCATCTGTCTCCAGGCCCCAGCTGCGCAGAGTCTTGAGAGCCCGGGCCCCAGAACTGGCTGCGCTGCGTGCTGTCACCAAGTAGGTGCGGATTGGGCACTCCAGCCGCAGGCCCTTGGAATAGAACTTCTTCTGCAGCCTACCCAGAGCCTCCAGAAAGCCCTTTAAAGGTCCCTACGAGAAGGCAAGGGAAGACTGTGAGCGCGCCCCTCTCGCAAACATTCGCTCCCTCTCCAGCTGGGCTCCTCCCTAAAGCACTCAGGTCTTTGGTACTTGGCGTGGGAAAGCTTCTCGAGGTCCCCACGTCTCTCAGCCCTGCTCTGCCTGCTCAGGCCACTGTGTGCATCAACGGGACAGTCTGTGTCAGAACAACCGCACCAGGACAGCTGTGACTCCGTGTGTCCATCTCTGTGCCCCTGGGGAGAATGGGTGTCTGTCCTGCCGCTCAGTGAGTGAGACCTTCTGTGTTCCCCAGCAGGGAGGATATTAAAAATATCCTCCAGGCAGAATGGATTCCAGCTGCGAGCGACATGGACAGACCGACCAGGGTGTAACTGGCTCAGGGTGTCATGCTCTGGCTCTCTGGGGTCAGGGAAAGGATTTACTCTCGACAGTGCCGGAAACAATGAAGGTTGATGAGGACATGTGAGTAAAGAACCAGATGATGGTTAAAAAAAAAAAAAAGAAAAAAGAGAAAACTACAACAGCAGCTGGAAATAAGGAGAAGAGGGCTCCCAATCTAGGAGACCCCTCACCTGCTGGGAGACTGGGGACAGCAGTGATGTCCTGGGCTCCACCTACCACGTAGTGGGAACACAGTCCTGCCCTGATTCCCAAGGGTGTTAGAGGGAATTAATGAGAACAGGAGTGAAGTGAATGTTCAGGGCCGAGACTGGAGCCTGCTGAAGTCTTGGCAAGAGGGGATCTGGGATGATGGAGATCTTTGTTAAAATCACAAATGGGAGCTCCCAGGAGGCCTGGAGAATTCCATCAGCTCCAACCCCAAGGAGCTGCAACCAGGGACTAGGGCGTAGTCTGCTCTCAGGGAGACTTCTGAGCAGTATGGTGGTGAGTGGGGGTCCCTGAGCCCCTTGCCAAGGGAAGGATGGCAGGAGGTAGTTAGGGCTGGTTGGCCCAGAGCAGAGGGGCTGCCCCAGACCCCACACCTGGCTAGATCTCCCTGCCCAGGTGAGGAGCACTGGTCCAGTTTTCCCTTTCTTCCAGCGAGGGAAGTGGGGGCTTCTTGAGAGGAGGGGAGCCTACTCAGAGGGGCAGGGGAACTCAGAGAGAGAATGAGGATTCCAGAGAGGCTTTCAGACTGCGAGGGGGGCTTTAGAGAAGGGATGGAGGCCCTGACCAGTATGGCTTAGTTGACTGGGTGTGTCCCACACAGCAAAAGGTTGCTGGTTCGATTCCTGGTCAGGACACATGCAGGTTTGGTCCTCAGACAGAGTGTGTACAAGAGGCAACCGACTGATATTTCTCTCCCTCTCTTTCTCCCTCCCTTCCCCTCTCTCTAAAAATAAATAAATAAAATCTTAAAAAAGAGAGAGAAGGGATGGAGACCTCAGCAAGGAGCTGCAAAGGACAGATCAGGGCTTCAGAGAGGGGCTTAGAGAGAAGGTGGGGGCTTCGGAGGGCGGATGGGACTGCAGTGAGGGGGACAGGGGCTCGAGGAAGGGGTAGAAGCTCACTGAGGGGAGCTGGGGGTCGAGTAAGAGGGATGAAGACTGGGGGCTTGGTGAGGGGACCCGCCTAGATTCTAGGCCAAGCTCTGAGTTTGGTTCTGGGCTGGAGGTTCCAGCCCAGGGCAGGCTCCGGGGAGCCGCCTCGCCCCACTCAGGGGTTCTGGGGCCTGTGTGGAGCACCTGGGCCAAGGGCTTGTTCTCATGGGCCTTCTCGTGCTCGAAGAACCTGTCCAGCCCGTGGGCCTTGACGATGCGCTCCGACTCGTCCGAGAAGAGCACCGCGTCCCCGTCGAAGGCCACGCGCAGCTGACTCTGGGACACAGCCACGTCCCTGCTGGGGCTGAAGATGGTGGCGGCTGCGATCCCTGGGCAGAGAGAGGTGAATGCTGTCTGCCTCCATCCTGGTGATAGGGCTCCCAGACACCTGGGCCAGGACAGGGCTGCCTCAGGCTCTCCTTGCCCACCTGCCTCGCCCAGGGCTCAGAGGGAACAAGGCAAACGAGGGCTAAGGTTCGGGATATTTAAAACCGGCCATATGAATGGATGGTGGCTTTTGCCCTGAGCAGGGGCCTGAGGGCTCTGGCCTAAGCCCGAGGTTCCCTTCAGTTGCTGCTTTGTGGGAAGGTCTAGGGAGCCCCAGGTAAAAGAAGGGCACTTAGAGGACTCGGGGCAGGAGCCACTTATCAACCAGTTTGGAGGAATGTTGACACCTTAATATCTAGTGAGGTCATGCTGGCATGGACTGTCGGAACATCAGTCCTGGCTGGAAGGAAGGCCCCGGGCCACTGATATCCTTCCCAGAATTCCTCACAGACTGTTGATACAGACCTACAGCACACTGGGAAGGAGCGCTGACCCTGGCTTGGCCTCCCTCTCTCACTGTGGATTCCGACAAGGCCCTCACCTGCTCTGCACCCACCCCAGGATGGATGTTTCAGCTCTGTCTGGAGCTGAGCTCCCAGGCTGCAGCCTGGGGTGAAGTGGATGTGGGTACCCTAAGTCTACTGTCACAAAGGCACCCAAGGTGTGTCCTACTCGGGACAGCCTGGCCATTCAGGGTTCCTTGAAGCAATGTAGGTGGCCATGAGGGGTAGCACTAATTACACTTGACTGTGGCACAGACTCTCTGCTTCTCCAGAAGGTCAAGGACGCTTGCCGGAAACCCGGACTCCAGGCTAGAGCTACAATGGACAAGAGAGCCAGTGCGTGGAGGCTGGAGACCTGGTCAGCCAGTTTAGCCCATTCCCTAACTTTCATCTCTCCTAAGGCCACCTCAGTCCTGCTCTTTGGGAATCTGGGATCACAGGGCCTGGGTGTAGGCAGAGCTCTGGGAGCGGTGAGCAGTGCCAACTCCGCAGCAACTTTGCTAGCCTGAGGGTGTTATAAGTAGGACCAGGCCCTGGGCATCAGGCCAGGAACCCTCCCCACGCTGCCAGTACTGGAGCCAAGATGAACCAAAATCAGCCCTACCCCGAGCAGGGCCACCCCCTGACCTCCACCTGCTCTCCAGCCTGAGCTCAGATTGCAGACATACAGAGGCACACGGGCAGGCCCGTGCCAAGGCCCCAACCAGAGGGCGTGACATCTGTGTAGGGAAATGGCTTCTGGTCCCTGGTTAAAGAGCCTCCTAGAAGCCCGAGCAGCCCAGAGGAGTGAGGCATCAGGGTCCTAGGCAGGAGACAGCATGAAGGAGGAAGAGAAAAGTGAATATATTTTTGGTCGATAAACCTGCCAGTAGCGCGTAGCCTGACAAGCCCTCTCAGGTGGCGGGTCCTGTCAGCCTGTGCCAGAGGACCAAGGCTATGGCCGCCACCCAACACTGCCCCTTGACAGAGACACATGGAGGGAAATTTTCTTTGTCAGAACTTGTGGCCGGGTCTCCTAACCTTGCCTCAGCTGCTGGAATACTGGCCGCTTCCCAGACCACACTCATTGTTCAGGCTGGACTAGAAACTCATCTTTCTCCTCACTGGCTCAGAGAGGGGCAGAGGCTACCCGTGGTCACACGGGAATCAGAACTCCTACTGACCTGGAAGGTTCTTCGAAGGGAGTGGCTTCCTGGGCTGTAAGGAGGGTTTCCATGGAAACAGAAGCCAGGGCTATGGTGATGAGTAAAAGCATCCGTAATGTGGTAGGGCAGGGGGTGGGAGAGCCGAACAAGTGGGCCTTGTTCTCAGAGTTTGTGGGACAGGTCATAGGCATTAAGGAAAGTAGTCCCCTTCCGGTGACCACCGCAACCCCTGGCACCTGCTCAGGGCTTTAGGACTCTGCTTCCCACCTCAGGGACTCCTGTGCCAGACGCCCCATGTTCCCCCTCCCCAGTTTCACTTACCTTCATCAATGGCTTCCCGAACTTTTTCTGCATCGGCTGACAAGTAGAGGTTGGTGTGATAGGCCTTGAGGTAGCAGATGGGGCTATTCCCGCCCGTCATGCAGAACCTCTCGATGAACAGGTCTGGGGAGGAGGTACAGAACACCCAGGTGATGCCGGAGTCAACCCCTCAGGGCCTCCCCACGGTCCCTCTGGGTCCAGTAGGCACTGTCTTGGTTCTGAGTGCTGGTGGTTCTCTGAGTTTAGGCCAGTGTCCTCCCTCGCTAAACCCCTCCGTCCTTCATCCATGAAGTGAAGATGATCACCTCCCAGGAGCAGTTGTCTGGCTCACAGTAGCATCCTCTAGCCAGGGAATTCCAGTACTAGACAAGGTGGGTCCCTAACCATGAGTGACCCTCTTGGCCCTAGCTGATTGGATAGGGATAGACACCTGACCCCAGCTGGGCCAATCAGATTCTCTCACAGCCTGGGCTGATAGCCACCTAGTTCCTTTGCCTGCAAGGTTGTAAAACATTTGCTGGTTGGTAGACGCTGCTGCTCTGAGTCCGCTGAGTTAGCCCAGCACGACCAAGTCCCTCATGCGAGACAATCCACAACGGAAGGGGCAACGCGAGGCACAGCAGGAGTCCTTCCGGACCGGCTCCTGTACTACAGGCGCTGCCTGCCCTGATTACTCCGCACCTACATCACAGGCGGTTAAATATTTTGAATATAACTCCTGCTCCCAGCCATTCAAAATTAGGATTAAAAATTTGCCAACTGGACTCTCTTGGTTGCTTAAAACAAAAACTTGTAAACTTATAAATTTTGGCCACGTTCAGGAAAAGCAGAGAAGCCTGCCTAGCTCGGGGAGAGAAAGAGACGGGAAAAACAAAAAGCAAAATAAAGGAACAGACTTGCTGAGAGAAGCAGAAGGGCTCATGTGGCCCGGAGAGAGAAAAGCCCAGGAGAGATTTCCAGTTCTTGGATTCAGGCCTTTTAGGCCCAATGTTACTTCTTGTCTTGTGGTTCTAAGACACACTCCTGTAAACAATAGATGTTTTTTTCCCCACAAAAACTGGCTCTGGAGGGTCTATTACTTTCAATCAAGAATTTGAATTAAGCCACAGAGCCCCACTCACTCGGATGACTGCACCTGTTCTCCAAGCAGCTGTGTGAGGCCTGGGAGCCCCACTGCAGACCGCGACACCGAGGCACCGAGGCTGCCAGTGCCCTGCCCGCTCACGCAAGGAGTGGGGCCTGAGCGGTGGCGTGCTGGAGCTGGCTCACACTGACTTGCAAGAACTGAATGTTAAACGTCCTGGGATTTTTGGAGCCAGTTCGATTGTTCGACTGTTGGTAGCTTGAAATCAGCCATGGTGGGAATGCTTACACCCTGAAAATGCCAATGACACAATTGGGTGCTTTTGTTGTTGTTGTTTTGTTTTTGTTTTTGTTTTTTAAGAGCTAGTTTACCAGCACATCCCTGGGTTTGGGTTCTAGTTAGTATACCCTTACCCTGCAGAGGTGCGGCCTCATCCCTGGGTGTCTGGTAGGGGTGTCCCACGCCCGATCCCACGTGCTCACCGTAGTGGTTGATGCTATTGATGAGACGGACACCCACTTGGGCGTGGTTGTTGGTTACGAGGACGATGTCGAAGATGTCCTCGCTGTCAGGGTACAGCTCCCGAAGCCGCCTGTTCACAGCCTCCAGAGCCTGGATGGGAGAGGGGCCCTGCAGCTCAGATGCCCGGGGACAAACATCTGCAGGCGGCAGCCAGGGCTGGGGAGGGCGAGGACATGGGCTTTCTCCTCCTAATCTCTGCCCTCGTGCAGGCTGATTCACCGAAAGCATGAGTGGGCGCTGAACCCCAGCCCGTGTTCCCCTCACCAGACTGGCTGGTTCCCTGGTGTGGGGCTGCATTAGTTTGGAGCACGGGGTGGCCTCTTCTTGCCACAGCGGTTCTGCCCCTATCCAAGCCGTGCTCCTGTGGGGCAGCATCTTCCCCGAGGGTCCCTCTTCCTCACTCAAACACCCATGGGAGCGCTTTTCCTGAACCCTCCAGAGGCACTGCATGGCTCGTGGTGGACAGCCGCTCACCTTCACAAAGGGGAAGGCCGGCCCTGGGCTGAATGGCTCGTTCTCGTGCTCCAGCTGGTAGCGCACGTACTCCTCCACGCCCTGCTCCGTGTAGATCCGCTGCTCCTCGTCCATGCGGAACAAGGCTCGGGAGGACACAGCAATGGTGACTGCATTCTGAGGCTTGGGCTGCAGACGTGCAGGAGAAGGGCCATCACTCACACTCCCCTGAGGTGGGTCTCATGTGCCAGCCCCTCTGGGCACTGGGGCAGGAAGTAAACCCAGGCCCAGCCTCTGCCTGAGGAGGCTTAGTCTTGGGCAGGGGCAGACCTAGGACAGGACCCCCTCTGTGTAGGACCCAGCTGAGGATGGAGATGACAGCTCCCCACCAAGAAGCACGATGGGGTGGCAGGGCCACGCCCTCGGCAAGTCTGCAGTCTGGCCAGCAATCAGGACACAACAGAAAAGGGAATACAGTGTATGGGGCCACAGAGCGTGGCTGATGCTCAAGGTGGTCTCTGGTCTCCACTATAAAATGGGAGCTGCAGGCCCTTCAGAGGAATTGTGCCTGGAAATATGACAACTGTGTGAGAACATTTATCTCCAGCCCAGATCCCTCTCCTGCACTCCTAACCCATGCATCTAACTGTCCCACTTGACTAACAGACACTCAAACTTAACGTGCTCAAGGCCGAATTCCTGCCACTCTCTCCACCACCAAACCTGGACTCCTCCCTCCTTCCTCATCCCATTGCCCAGCACCATCATACACATCTCACCTAAACCGGGAGCCTGGAAGTCAATGCAAGTCTTCCCTCTTCCTCAACTCCTTCAATCAGTCAGTCACCAACAATTAGACGCCAACGCCTATCAACTCCACTGGACTCCATCCACTTGCTTCTGTCTTCCCTACCACAGCCCAGTTCATCACCATCTGTCATCTCCTACAATCTGTCACCCCTACTGTTGTCAGGGAATTTCCCCATGTTCAAGTCTGGTTGTGTGCCCCTCCCCTTCAGTGGTACCCACTCCTCTCGGGCCCCAGTCCATAGCCTTTAGTGTAGAGTGGGAAGCTCTTCCCGACAGACCCCTTACTTCTCTCTCCACTCTCGTCTCCCCATAACCCCACTGTGCTCTAGCTGACTTCTCTCATGGGTGAGCGCAACTTCCCATCTTCCTCTGAGCCTTTGCACATGCTGTTCCCCCTCCTGACCTGCACTCTCCCTGACTCTCAATCCAGCTAACTTCTACCCAACCTCTGGGTCTCAAACTCCATGCCATCTCTGGGAAGCCTTCCCTCACGCCTCGTTATGGGTGTGCTACCTCTCCCATTTCCTTTTCCTCCCCTATTTTTCTATTTCCTTGTTAGTAACATTTAACAATAAGTTATAATTGCTTCATTAATTATTTCTATTTCTAGACAGAGTTCTAGAGAGGAAGCAGGAACCGTGTCTAAATTCTGAGGAAGCAGGGACTAGGACTATCTTGTTAACTTATTGTATCTCTAGTGCTTAGAACTGTACCTAGCACATAATGGGAGCTCAGTACATTTTTAATGGCTCTGAACTTTTGAGTAACATATTTCCATAAGAAGCGATATCTGGGCCCTGGCTGGCGTAGCTCGGTGGATTGAGCGCGGGCTGCGAACCGAAGTGTTGCAGGTTTGATTCCCAGCCAGGGTACATTCCTGGGTTGCAGGCCATAACCCCCAGCAACCACACATTGATGTTTCTCTCTCTCTCTCTCCCTTCTCTCTCTAAAAATAAATAAATAAAAACTTAAAAAAATGTTAAAAAAAAAAGAAGGGATATCTGCCATGACAAATTTTACATGAACTAGAAACTTCAGTGAAGTGTTCTAATCTGTTCAGATTACTTGACATATAGCAGATGCTCCAAGAATATTTTTTTTGGTTGATGCAAATCTGACAAACATTTACTGGTTCTTTGTGCCAGACACCTGGGCTCTGCCTGGGGTAGTCCTGTCCTCAGAGCTCACAGGCTGGGAGGGAGAAACAGAGATGCAGAAGGGACTGAAATGAGTGACAGAACACAGGTGAAAACCTGGTCTTGATGACAGGGGTTCAGAGGAAGTTGTCACAGGAGAGGAGGCGTTTGAGCCGAGACTTGGAGGAGGAGCAGGGTGAAGGAAGGCGTGAGGAGGTGCGCACAGACATGGTGAGCAGAGCCCAGGGCATGGGGGTACAGGTGAGCCCAGAACAGTAGGAAGGTGCCAGGTTGCAGAGGGCCTTCTATCAGGGCCCCAGAAGCGCTAGGAGCCCCTTCACCCCCTCTAGTGGAATGGAGACAGGGGTGTGCCATCACAGATGGCAGCTGGGCCCTTGGTCATCCCTGGGGAAGGTCAGGATGTGGGTTCCCAAGGGACTCCCAGACTCCCAGAGCCCCACTGCATCTCTGTGACATAAGCTGTATGGGACCCTGATTCCCACTTTGCAGATGAGGGGCTCACGTTGGGGCCTGCTCCTGACGGGCCTGCTCCTGACGGCCCTGTGGGCCCCGCACCGGCCCCGCTGCTTCTTTCTGGAGTCAAGCCTAGGTTCCAATCAGTTGACAACACTGAGTGATGACCATGTGACAGTCACTGTTCTGGGGACATGGCAGGAAACAAGACAGGTGTGATCCCTGTCCCCACAGAGCTTATGACCTGTCCCCAAGGCAGAGATCCATGCCATCCTTTAGAAGAGCACTGCCCAGTAGAACTTTCTGTGATAATGGAAATGTCCAGAGCTGTCCAGGGGGCTACATGTGGCTATGGAGTAACTTGAAATGTAGCTAGTGAGACTGAGGAACTGAATTTTTTATTGTATCTAATTTTAATCAATTTACATTAAGTAGCTATGACTGGCCAGCGGCTAGTGAGAATTTAAAACCTCAGAGTTGGAATGCAAGACCAAAGACCTCCCCAAACAAGTGACATAGACCTCAGTTTGCACTCGACTTTTATTCCCACCGAGGTGCTGCATGCAGCCGCAGGGCCAGGCTAAGGCAGTGGCAGGACAGGTGCCTCTCCTCTGGGGCTGAGCTCAAGTGCTGTCCTGGTTGCTGGCCCCCACCGTGCATCTGTGTGTCCTTGGGCCGGGTATCTTCCAACCCCATCAGCAGCTGTGAGCCTCCAAGGGAAGAAGGTAATGAAGTTAAAAGACCTCAAGAGAAAGAATGATAGAGGGATGGCCAGAGATGGTGAGTGTGGAGTCGGGAGAGGAGGGAGACCTACTCTTGTAAACCCAGGAAGCCTGTTGGCCTTCAGGATGGGGGCTGAGTGCGTCCCGTCCCTGGGCTTACTGCCTTAGGGACAGAGTCCATCATCCCTTCAAGGACAGAGAATCGGCTGCTCTCCCGGCCCCTTCAGGCATGTTCCCAAGCCAGCCACTCCAGCCCAGGCAGCCAGCCAGCTGAGGTCTCACTCCTCTGTCCCACAGCCCCTGCCAAACTGCCATGTTCTGGCCCCCCCACCACCCCGAACCAGCTGACCTGCCCAGACCCCATCCCATCCCACCTCGGGCCGTTGCAAGAAAACTACCCGAGGTGCCTTGGCTCCAGGAGTCTCCACTTCTATTATTTTTTTATTTTTTAAATATTTTATTTATTTATTTTCAGACAGAGGGAAAGGGAGGGAGAAAAAGAGGGAAAGAAACATCAATGTGTGGTTGCCTCTTGTGCGTCCCCTACTGTGAGGGCCACAACCCAGGCATGTGCCCTGCCTGGGAATTGAACCAGCGACCCTTTGGTTTGCAGGCCAGCACTCAACCCACTGAGCCACACCGGCCAGGACCACTTCTTTTAAAGATGGGGGAATTGGCCCAGAGAGGGACAGAAAATTATTCTAGGTCACACAGCAAAGTCAAGGCAGAGCCAAGATAAGAAAGAAGTCTTTGGCCTCTTTCTACACAGCAGCACCCATCCCCCATATGTCCCTTCTCAATAACTCTCAGGAGACCCCGGCCTCTGTTACTGCAGCCACTTCCCTGGGACAGTCCCACCACACAGTCCCCCTTTCCAGATTTGGGAGAAATGGTGAGGGTCACAGTGCCCTCACACTGAGGATTCTAAGGGCAGGCCTCTCTTCACCTCAGAATGGAGATCCCAAGGTCAGGACCCCACCTCCCCGCTCAGCCTGTTCTGACACTGTCCAGATGAGGTGGAATCTGGGGGCCTAGAGGGCATGAGCTGGAAGCCATGAACAGCCCGGGCTGCAGGGGGCGCTGAAGGGACAGGTGAAAGTGGTTGGCCAGAGTTGGGTAGGAGCAAGCGCTCAGAGACCCTCCTAGAGCCAGCTGCAGAGGGAGGCCACCCTGTCACGTGTTATCAGGTCAGCCTGGGGACAGGCCCCCCAGAAATCAGAAAGAAGTCCAGATTCCAGGCTGGGAACTAGGCCAGAAAGACCCTCACCCGAGACCAGGAACTCAGCCTGGGAGCACTGGCCTGCTCTGCCTTCCACCGGGATGGGGGCCAGGCTGGTGTCCCCCTCTGCCTGGTGGGGTTGGGATGGGGTGACAGTGGAGGGCAGCACAGCCCCACCCCGCCTGTCTGAGGGACTCTCATTTAGGCCGATATGATTCTGCCTGTTGGGACCAACACAGGAACTTGGCCAAAAGCTGTTATTTCTAGGACTTAGAGTGAGAAGGGCAGCCGGAGGAGAGAGAGACAGATAGGTCCGCACTGAGGAAGTCCTCTGGCACCATGAGGTAAGGGCCTCCTCTGCGTCTGGGGCTTAAATATCTCACTCAGGCTCCTGGGAATGAGAATGAGCCCAGCCAGGCTCTGATGTGGCCCACAAGGCCTAAAGCCCCCAAAATAGCTTATGGGAGGAGGGGCTATGGCAGGAAGGAGTAGGGGCCAGGAAGCCACCAGGCACCTCGCCTCTCAGAGAACTGTGAGGGTCAGGGGCTGACGGAGAGGTCGTGACTGACAGCTGGGCCTGTGTGCCTGGATTCCTTGGCGCCTGGGGAGGAAATGAATTGGGGAGCTCCACTGACCACCCTGGTTCCCAGTGCCCATCCCCTTCCCTCCAACCCCGGGACCATGACAGTAGTCTAGTTTGCTCCGCAGACAGGGACCAGGCCTCTCACTAGCCAAGCACACCCTCTCCAATCCATTCACAGCACTGGCCAGGGTGATCCTTCTAAAATGAAAATGGAAACAAGTTAATCCCTTGCTGAAAAATCCTGCATCACTCTATAATGGTTTTCATGCTTTTTAAAAAAGTAGGTTGACCTGTTATTCAAATGAACTCTTGGGGGAAACCCCGATATGCAAACCAGATATTAACATATCTTATTGGCATACATTTATGTTACTATATCAATTGTATTACACATACATAAAGTATTTATTATAATGTCAACCAATGAAAACAACACAGTTGTTTGGAAAATGACAAATTGGAAACTGGGAGTTAGGATTCAGATGTAGCTGGTGCAGACTTAAGCTTCATCATCTAGTCAATTTGTTTCTGCATTTGTTGGGTTTTTCACAGTATTGAGAAAGCCCTGATTCACACCAATAAGTGGCTGATCAAAGGTATAAATGATCAAAGGTATTTTGTCTTGTTTTGTTTTAAGCTACCAGCCTCAAGAGGCTCAGCAATAATTGCCAGCAATCTCAAGATACTTTTCTATTAAACAGATCACAGGAAAAGCTTTATTCTAAGGTTTGCTAAAAAAAATAATACTAGGGACTCCTGGTCGAGATGGAGACATAAGTAGACACGCTTTGCCTCTGCACGCAACCACAAAAAGAATTACATCTTGCCCTGGCTGGTGTGGCTCGGTGGATTGAGTGCTGGCCTACGAACCAAACGGTCAACAGCTTGATTCCCAGTCAGGGCACATGCCTGGGTTGCAGGGCAGGTCCCCAGTTGGGAATACATGAGAGACAACCACACATTGATATTTCTCGCCCTCCCTACCTTCCCCTCTCTTTAAAAATAAATAAACAAAATCTATTTTTTTAAAAAAGCCACATTCATTCAGATGAGTAGGAGGGACAGAGACTTGGAGATGGGGCGGAGAGAAGACAAGACGTGGCATGGAGAGGTGCCGCGGAACAGGGCACAGGCCGTCCCACATTCACGCGTGGTGGATAAAAACCTGGAGGGATACTCTGGGAGTTAGTGATCCCAGCCCCAGGCCAGACTGCACAGTCCAGGGTTCCAGCACCAGGAAGATAAATCCCAGTCACTTTTGGCTGTAAAATCCACTGGGGGTTGGGGCAAAAGGAGAAACTGCGGGATTTTCCGGAAACTCTGTTGAAAGGGTCTGCAGGGTCTTAAAACATACACAAACCCACTCACTTGGGGATTCAACACCAGGGCAACAGCTGGAAGGGCACAAGTTGCATACAGGGAGTGGGTGAAGTGACTGGAAACGGGGCAAGTGCCAGGCAAACCCCCAGAAGCCAGGCAGCAGCACAGTCCCTTCTCTGAGCCCTTCCCCTCCCCCTACACAGAGCCACAAAGTGGTAAAGCAGGTTGCCCCACCCTGGTAATTACCTACTGCTCCGTCCCACACAATTTACAGGTGCCTTTTACAGGGAGTCAAGGCAGTTCTACCTACTACAGAGAAACAAACACAGGGAGGCTGCCAAATTGAGGAGACAAAGAAAAGAAATATGACCCAAATGAAAGAACAGAACAAAACTTCAGGAAAAGAACTAAATAAAACAGAGATAGCCAACCTATCATATGCAGAGTTCAAAACACTGGTGATCATGAACTGATACTCAAAGAACTCACTGAGTATGGCAACAACATAAAGGAAGAAATTAAGATTACACTAAGTGAAATAAATAAAGAAAAATCTCTAGGGAACCAACAGTGAAGGGAAGGAAGCTGGGAGTCAAATCAATGATTTGGAACATGAGGGAAAAAATAAACATTCAACCAGAACAGAAACAAGAAATAAGAATTTAGAAAACAAGGATAGTATAAGAAGACTCCAGGACATCTCCAAACATGCCAACATCTGAATCAGAGGGATACCAGAAAGAGAAGAGGAAGAGCAAGGAGTTGAAAACTTATTTGAAAAAATAATGGAAGAAAACTTCCCTAATTTGGCAAAATCCAGGGAGCACAGAGAGTCCCAAACAAGTTGGACGCAAAGAGGAACACACTAAGACATGTCATAATTAAAATGCCAAAGGTTAAAGATAAAGAGAGAATCTTAAAAGCAGCAAGAGAAAAGCAGAGAGTTACCTACAAAGGAGTTCCCATAAGACTGTCAGCTCGTTTCTCAAAGGACACTTGGCAGGCTAGCAGGGACTTCCAAGAAGTGTTTGAAGTGATGAAAAGCAAGGACCTACAACCTAGATTGCTCTATCCAGCAAAGCTGTCATTTAGAATCAAAGGGCAGATAAAGTGTTTCCCAGACAAGGTAAAACTAAAGGAGTTCATCATCACCAAACCATTACTACAGGAAATGTTAAAGGAACTTGTTTAAAAAAAAAAAAAAGATCAAAACTATGGACATTAAAAAGGCAACAAATTCACAGCTATCAACAACTGAATCTAAACAAACAAACAAACAAAATCTAAGCAAACAACCAGATCAGGAACAGAATCATGGGTATGGAGATCATTGGGAGGGTTATCAGCTGGGAGGGGTGGGGGGAGAATGGGGGAAAGGGTACAGGGATTCAAAAGCATAATCAGTAGGCATGACATAGACAGGGGGATACTAATAGTATAGGAAATGGAGAAGCCAAAGAACTTACATGCACAACCTATGGACATGAACTAAGGGGGGGATTGCTGGAGAAAAGAGGGGTACCAGGTGGGGGGGGCAAAGAGGGAAAAATTGGGATCACTGTAATAACATAATCAATAAAGTATACTTAAAAATAAAATGTAGAATATAGTATAAATAAATAAATGTTAACATAATAATAACAATCAACCTGCAGCATAAATTAATGTTAGTGGTCTCCAATGTGCAAAAACGTCCACCTGACACAGGTGGGCAATTCGAGTGAGTTGTTTTGTTATACATTTTTAATAGTTTAAAACATACTTTGAAGAAGAAAGAAAATAAATTGGATTCATAGGCGTGCAGACCCCCTGAAACATGGGGCTCCATGGAACCTCGTTTTAAAACCCCCGGCCTCACTGAATAAGGTCCAGGCTCCTCAACACGACACTCAGGGGCCTTCGTGAGTCTCCCACACCCCCCAAGTCTTCTCCCAAAGACCCTGCATTCTCCCACCCAGGTGCCGTCTCCATACCTTTTACCCATCCAGTTTCTATCTCTGCCTGGGAAAAACCACCTATTCGGGCTTTGAGATCAGCTCAAATGCCACCTCCGCAGAGCCTCACCTAGTGGGCAGTCCCTCCTTCCCCTGCTCGCACCGCACTTGTAGGGTCTTTCGCCTGAGCGCGCACCACTTGCACGCACCCTCGGTGCGGCGTGAGCTCCCGAGGCAGGGAGCTCACCTCTCAGCCTACCTCACCTCTCAGTTGCGTTGCTGAGGGGCCTGGCGGAACGGCAGGAAATGACTGTTGACAGGTGGGCCTCCTGGGGCAGGGTCTTTGGAGGGTAGGGGCAGGACACTTGAAGGTCAGGGGGATGCTCGGTGCCATCCTCTATTCTCAGTCGCTTCGGCAAGCTCCGAGATCACGAAGTGGGAGTGAGCAAGGCCCAGGGGCCAACCCTGAGCTCAATGAGGGTTGTTTGCCCTCATCAAGAACTTGTCGGATGGGAAGAGGACCTCTCTCCTCTGTGAGTCCTGCAGTGTTGAGACCATCAGGGGTGGAGCGGGGATGTTAATGCTCACTGCGAGGGGAGCAGAGCCCAGAGCCGGGGCACAGAGTTCTGCGTCGGGAACCCACAACCAGGGACGCAGAGCCCTGAGTGCACCCTTAGGACGCAGGGAGCACAGCACCCCAGCCCAGGGCGCAGGGCCCTGAGCCAGACCCCAAACCGAGAGGCTCCGGTCGGGAGAGAGGTACCCAGATGGCAGAAACCGGAGCGCACAGCGAGGAGCCGGGTTTCCCGAGTCCGGTTACTAGGGCCCCGGTCGCTACCGCGGGCGCCACCGATCGGCACTGCCAACAAGTACCGCCCGGGCGCCCCAGGCCGCCCGCTGCGAGAGGGGCTGAGTCGCGGGGCCCTGAGCTGGACCCAGGTGACAGCACGGGGGAGGAGGATCCTGGCGTGGAACACGAGCCCCGGAAAGAAACACGGAGCAGAGCTCCCAAAAATAAACCCGAGCCTGCGCCAACGGCAGGGCACATTCTGGTGCCTCAGGACCTGCGTCCCCTCCCGGAGGGGCACCACGGGCCCCTCTCCAGGGGGCTCCCCCGTGACCTTCCCCTTCCCTCCCTCCACACCCAAGCCCTGTGCTTACCGATTTGGGTTTCTTCTTGGGAGAGAGTTTGTCGGAGAAAGCCTTGGCTTCCTCCCAGCGCGGGGCCGCGGCGGTCTCTGCCCCCGGCCCGGGCTCGCGGGGCTCCCGGGGCTCCCGGGGCTCCCGGGGCTCCCGGGGATCCCCGGCTTCCATGCTCTGGTTGTGACCCGACAGAGAGGGCGGCGGCGGAGACACGGAGCTCGCGGGGCTGGGCTGCGCGTCCCGGGCGTGAAAAGGGGACGGGCGGCGGCGGGGGGTGTGGGCGAGCGAGCCGCGCGAGGGCGGGGTTGGGGGCGGCGGTGTCGCACGCGCCCTCTCGGCCGCCCGGTGCTGCTGTAGTGTGCGGTGTCAGAGCGCGGCTGAGCTCTCCTTTCCGCGCCGCCTCGCGCCCGAACTGCACGGGCGGTTGCGGGGGGCGGGGTTTGGCCTCGCGGGCTCCCAGGTGGAGGAGGCCTGAAGCGGGGCTTGCGGGCTGCTGCGGATTCAGGACTGGGGGGAGAGCGGAGGCCTGACAAATTATTTTCCCGGGACGGTGAATCTCAAAGAGAAGATGAAAAGGTAGCTGTGCCCCCGCCCCGCCCCAAAGCTAACCCTTTTCCCCTCCGTTGCAAGGACCGTGGACCCTGAGCGGCGTTCCCTTAAACCGTAGTCCCTTCTGCAGAAGGGGAGGTAGTGGATGCACAGCTCCGTCTACCAGCAGGACCCCGCTTCCAGCCCGGGAGCTCTTCCCCACCAAGGCAGAAGGGCCCTTGAAGTCCGTGTCGAGACTAGGCTCTCCTCTGTCTGGTGGGGGACCCCGACCTGAGAGACACCCAGAGATTCTGAACCCAAGTTCTTGCTGGGCCCTCGATAGCCAGCAGGGGGCGCACACTCCTAGGTCCCATCTGCCAAGCTTGAGACGATCAGTTACAGGCTATGAAGTGACTGGATGGAGGGAGGGTCGAACAGAAGCCTCAGAATCAGACACGTGGGCCACCACCCCGGAGTTTCAGGGCACAGGTGAGGAGCCCTGGATGCAGACACTAATGCCTTCCATCCCAAGTCACAGGCCAGGAAACCGACCAGGGGCATCTCTGTGTGAGCCTAGAAGTGTGCACAGGTGGGTGGGAGCACCAGGAGAAAATGCTGGCTTAGCCTGGGGGGCATCTGCCCGGAAGAGGGTACAGAACGGAGGGACCCAGGCAGACTCTGCCATCCTGGGAGGAACTAACCAAACCTCGTGTGGGAGGAAGGGGGAAATAATAACAAAAAAATGTAGGATTGGGGAAGTGTTTCCACTTGCCCTTCTCCAGCCTTGGTAGATTCTTTCCACAGATGACCCCAAACTCTCTCCCATCCTGCCTGCCCTTCAGCAATATGACTTTGACACGTCTCCCATCCTGAGGTGGGATGGAATCTGAGCTGACCTGGTGTCTTGTGTTAACTAATAGAATGCTGTAGAAGCGATGTTACACAGTTTCTGAGCTTAAACCTTAGAGGCCCTCCAGATTCCACTGTTGCCCTTTTGGGGTCCTGCTACTAGGTAAAGAAGTCTGACTGCCCTTCCAGAAAGTCCACATGGTGAGGCGGAGCAGCCCTGGAGGATAAGTAGCCAGTGGAGAACAGTGACTTCCGCAGTGACTGTCAGCATCAGTTACCCAGCGACTGTCAGCATATGAGTGAGGCCACTGCGGCTGTTCCAGCCCCATGGGGCTCAGCGCCAGTGAGATGCTGTGACCCCAGCCACGAAGCAGCAAAACCTCCCAGCAGAGCCCAGTCAACCCATAGAATCAGGAAAAAATAAATAAATTATTGTTTTAAGCACTAAGTTTTGGGGTCGAGTATTACACAGCAATAAATAATGAAACTCTAGGAAGGGGTCCATTATTCTCAGGTGCCTCACGGAGGCGGAGGAGGCCACTTAGGAATAACGTCTGGGGTGGTTACCTGGGTGGGAGTGAGCACCTGACACAAGGGCAAGCCATCCCCATGCTGCCCAGTGACCTTGGACTTGTGTGGCCTGGGTTGAAAAGTTGGTCTGGGCCAGATCAACTTTTGGAATTGGGAATTGGGAAACAGGGACTGGAAAGCTTCACAAGAGTGAAGCTGAGGATGCTGTGAAAGGCAGTCAGCATCCAAGAGATCTGGGTGAGCCTTAGCGAGCTGTAGTCACGTGCGACATACAACCAAGTGGGCAGAAGCTCTGGGAACAGAAGGGGCCAATGTGCAGAAGGCACTACCGACCTCACAGAAGAGGAGCCTGCTGCCCTGAGAGGGAGCTGCCTCTGGTCCTGACAGTTGCCCAAGTCCCAGCTGAGACCCTGGCTACAGTGCCCTCCTCCAAATGTCCATAAAATTCTCCATAGCACTTCAGCAAATGCCCCCCGACCACCAGAAGTTGGCAGTGTTTGTTTGTTTGTTTGTTTGTTTGTTTTTGACTAGGTACCTTCCCCTCCTTCTTCTTCTGGTAATTGGCCCTGCTTCCCTGCCTCCCTGGTTATAGGAGTAGGCACACGACTTGGGCCTGGCCAACTGTAAAATCCTATTTCCTTGGACACAGAGATGAAGCCAAGGATGAGCATGAGGCCCCAGCTGGGCCACTCTCCCATACTCTTGTATAGGGGTACTGGGAGATCTGACTCCTCTGGGGTTATTAACTTGAGACAATGGGATCGGAGAACCCATCTTTCCCTGAGGCAGGTGAAAGATCGGGGGGCATACCCATCTGGAGGACAATGAGGTCACACAGAGAGGGAAGCAGAAGCAGGGAGCGGGCGGGGGAGGGGTGCAACATTGAGCCTCTGGATCCAGCAGAGCCTGAACTTCCCAATTACATGAGCCACTAAGCCTCTCTTTTCACTTGAGCTTGTTTGAATTGGCCTCAACTAATCCAGTCCGCCTTACTTGGAGACTGACACAGGTGCTCATCGGACAGGGTGTCAAGGGGAAGCTGTATGATAACTGTGATGGACTGTGTACCCATGAGGGGCCCACTGTTTGAGGTTTGGGAGGGTTTCATGGAGGAGATCATTGAGACAGGACAATGAATGGGTGGCCCAGAGAGGGGTGATGGCCTGTGTCCAGGTGCAGAAGCTTAAGAGATCCCTGAGGGAAATTCAGGGTGTCTCAAACGTAGGATGCAGGAGAGGGAGGTGGGGAAAGAACAGGCTTTTGAGGTCAGCAGGTGGAAGATCACGCAGGACCTTGAGAGACTTTTAAGGAGTTTATGATGCTGAAGGCAGGGGAGGCTTTCAAAGAGTTGACGTGGTCAGATTTGTGCTTGAGGGAGATCACTCTGGTTTCTGTGGGGCAGATAAACGGTGCAGAGAGCAAGCCTGAAAGCAGCAGGTGGACTAACCTGGGCTAGGGATGAGGAGGGCCTGTGGGAAAGTTTCTAGGAGATCTTAAACATCCAAGACAGGCAGGAGACAGGACTCCCCATCCCCTGAGTGTGACTTCGGCTGGGAATAGCAGCCTCAAGTTCTCAGACTTCTGAGTCACCTCCTTAGGTTCACGGTTGCCCCGAGGCCAGGTCAGCCTCCTTCCTCCATCCTAATTGCTTCCTGCCAAGGAAGCGGCCCCCTCCGAGCGTCCTTGAGAAAGCCCTTGTAAAAAGCAACTGAGCGTTTCAGGAGCAAGCAGGCGCCCACAGCTGTCACTGCTCCCAATGCCCATCAGGGAACAGCGCCTCCCTGAGTACTGAGGGTCTTCTGAGAAGAACACTTCACCACCAACTCCCATCCCCAGCACCTACCATATTTGGGTCAGTGGGGGTCTCAGGGCTCTGGGCTGGGCTCCTATGAATGGTGTAACACAGAGGTCCCCAACACTTTTAGAACCAGGGACCAGTTTTGCAGAAGATGGCAGCAGTGGAGGCGGGGGGGAGCGCTATGCAACGGGTTGTGGAAGGACACAGGAGGTGGAGCTCAGGTGGCCAGGGTTGGGGACCCCTGGTGTGACAAGCAGGTAAGGCACCTCACAGACCTCTGACCAGCAGGGCATGCAGAGGCTGAAATTCTGGCCCCGCTCCATGTGTGTCCTGGCATAAGAGGCCGTGTTTGTTCGGAAGAAGGGGAATGTTTTTCTAATTAGCCCAAAGGTGCCATCTGCTGGTCTGGCTGCATACCTACGGGGGTGCTTCCACTCAGGGAGCACCCCTTTTCCTAATTAGTGCAGAGGGCACCACATGCACCACTGTGGCACTGGCTCCCAACCTTTCTCCCCAGTGCCCACTGTCTGCTCATCTGGGCTCGTGTGAAGCCTTCACTGGACAGAGGGAGAAACTAAGCCTCACTCTCTGCCTCCGCTGGCTCCCTTCTGGGGGAACTGCTCCACCTGTAGATCCCATGCAGCAGCATCTGGTCGGGCCATAGACGACTGGACCAAGGGGTCCCGCCGGAAGCTAAGCTGAACCGATCAGATTCTTTTGCTTGATACACAGAGGAGTGTTGTCGTCACCGGTGAGTTTTGATACAGGGCTAGGATGCAGCCACTTCAAGCAGGGAGAACTAGAAAATCTGAAGAGAAACCAAGGAAAAGAACACAAACGCAAATATTGCCAAGAGGATGAGAGCCTGCGAGGCCCAAAGAAAAGAGAGAGGCCCATTCTTAGTTCTAGTTCACATAAGGCCCACTCATTCTTGATTTCCCATCTTTAGGGTCCCTTGTAATCTGCTCAATCCTTTCTTCGAACTGTTGAGTGGGTCTCTGTTTCCTGTAAACAGAGTCCTCGCCAGAGCGAGGACCTCAGTCCCAAGGAGTTGCTGAGGTGCTCCCATGTGTGAGCTTCCCGCCCCCTGCCCCCCAGCCCTATCCCAGCTCAGGGAAGTGTAGGAAGCCTCAGTCAGCACAGCCACACCTTTTATTCACTGTCAGTGAAAAAAAAAAAACACCACACAGCACAGGGGTGAACAGTGAGGAGGTCACTGTGAGCATAGCCAGGAGCAGCGCATCTGAAGGGGACACAGGCGCCACAGTGGTGAGTTGGGAGGGCCCCGGGGCCACCCACCACCCCCTCCTGCCCCAGGCCTCCTCACTCCCAGAACCTCCACCAAGCAGGAAGGGCCAGACACCCTGGGAGGCCCGGTCCTGCCCCCACACTCTGGCAAAGGTAAAAGAAAATCCTGAAAATTTCAGAAAGACAATCCCATATTTTTCTTCGACTTTTCAATGGCAAGATTTAAATTTTTTTCAAAACTGATGAATAAAATATGAAGGAAATGTATTCTTCCCCCACAATGATTTCTAAAGTCAGCACAAAGCCTCATCCAGGGTGGATCTTCAGGGAATCTTTGTTGCTTTAGTAAAGTTTTGTGTAAAAATATTTACAGTGTCAGCTTACTACCTTGCCTTGAAACCTCAGCTTATTCTCTTATTTTTTCCTTTCTCTCCCCTCCCCTCCTCTTCCTCTCTCTCTCTCTTTCTCTCTCTCTCTTTCTCTCTCTCTCTCTCTCCAGCAGAATTTCTACCTCCAGGGACTCTGCCATCATCAGGAAAAGATACAGAGCCTTTGCATATAAGCTTCCTTTTTCTTAATTTTTGATTTCAGGTAAATTATGTGATCCTGACTGGAGCCCAAAGGGCCGGAGTGGCCACCTGAAGTAGCCCTTGCTGATGATTTTTAGAGATAGGAAGGAGCTCATCAATTAGCTCAAAGGTTGAATGAAAGCAGAATACAGTTAGAAGGCAGAAGTTAGAATTTTGCAATTCAGAGTTGCTGCAAGAAGATACAGAACTTCAAAGGGGAGTTTGGGCAGTTTGTATATATCAATGTTTTAACCGTCTGTATATCTTTGAGTCTATGCGAGTCATACTTCAATCTCTGTTAACCCTGTGCTCTGTGACAGGTCCCTCCCAGCTGGAGCAGAGATGGGAGGACTGCCTCTCTTCTCACAGTAGGGCCAGTGCTCTACCACAGGAGCATATGGGAGCAAGGCCTGGCCTGCCTGTGGCTCCTCCCATTAGCAAGATGGTGGGCCTGGTTCCCTGCCTGGCGTTATGTGTCCAACACTGATGGGCTGCATGAGAATCTTTGGCCTCACCAGCAAACATCACCCAGGGGTATGTGTCCAAAAGCTTGGAGTGATCAAACATACCCTCACAGGTAGGACTTGCCTACCAGTTGGGAAAAAACAAAAGCAGTTCTCTCAGGGAGGAAGATGATGGCAAAGACAGTGCAAGATGCTTCCCAGCTTCTGAGTGAGAGCCTCCTAGGACTGCATTGACTTGTTAGCAGAGCTGCCCAGAAACAGAAAACAAGATGCTTGAACATGTGGAGTCTTCAACCAAGATTCAATTTCCTTTTGGAAGACCACAGCCTCAGCAGGAAGCTTGTAAAAGACCACAACCAACTTAGCTCGCCCCACAGTTGACCTCTGTACAACTCAGAATCAAATTAATGAGCCCAAGAAAGACTCTGAAGGGAAGAAACCTGCTTAGGGCCTTGGGTTCAAGTCTTGGTGCTGTGCCCATTCCTGACTGTGTGCTTTTGCACCATGGACACACTGTGCCTCAGTTTCCAAGTCTGGAGAAAGGGAATGAAAATCCTCACTTCCCTAGGCTTTGAGTGTAGAATGGGATGGAGTAGGTGGCAAGCCTTTGAAAGCCGTAAGTTCTGTGTGATTGGGAGCTGGGTTAGATTCAACATTTGGGGGAGAGGAACCCCACTTTGTAAAAAGCCTTCCATTGGAAGTGTCAGCTGAGCCAGGCTGTTGAGTATCTGCACCTGTGGTGCACTGACAGCACAAGACACGCCCAGTGCGCAGCTCCTGGGAGCAACAGGACATCCTCCGAGGTGTCATTAGATAAAAGCACGCTGGTTACTGCCTGAGGATGTGAGTTCCCCAGCCTTACCATGTGGCTGGTGCTAGGAGGAGAGAAAGAGGGTGGGAATCCAGTGGCCTTGCTACCTTCAAGAGCAGCAAGAAGAAAGGTCCAAAAGAGTTGGGGACCAAAGGTCAGCATCCCCTAGAGCAGGGGTGTCAAACTCATTGTCACCGGGGACCACATCAGCCTTGCAGTTGCTTTCAAAGGGCCAGATGTCATTTTAGGGCTGTATAAATGTAACTACTCCTTAACAGTTAAGCAACAGCTCAGTGCTGCCAGCCGGTAGAAACAAGGTGCCGGGCAGGATAACACAAGGTGGAGGGCCAGATTTGGCCTGCGGACTTTGTGTTTGCCACCTGTGCCCTAGAGTTTCCACCTGCAGAGAGGGAGGGAAGGTGAACACCTAGAAGTAAAATGCATGCTGCATTGCTTTCCTGCTGTTACAAGCCACACACCCCTGACTCAGCAACCACTCCCTGCTCCCACCCTGGGCTGGCAGCACCTGTGTACTAGACTGTTTTCACTAGCGGTTCAAGAGGAAATCAACTGTCATTGCATGTCAAAGCTAATTTCTGACCACAGGTACAGGAAAGTGTAAAGTGAAAGACTTGAAGAAGCAAGATGAGTTTTCTAGCAAAGCATGCAGCTGTATAGCTCATGGATCCAGAATCAGAAAGCAGACGCTGGAAAGCAAAGCCAGTGCGCTGAGAAGACGAATTACCTGGCAGATTTCGGATTTGGGGTTAGAGAAAGCTTTTCAAATGGAGCATGCCTAGTATGTTTCTAAGCATTTGGCCCATAAACGCAGTCTGGCAGCCTAAAGAGTGGCCAGGTGGTCCTTCCTCTTCTTCTAGCTCCTTCTGCTTCTGTAGCAGTGAAAGAACAAGCCCATCCTTGAAAGTAGACCAAATCTACCAAGGAACTACCAAGATGTGGGAAAGGCACAGCCTCGATCTTGGCAAATCTTGTGTGTGTGTGTGTGTGTGTGTGTGTGTGTGTTTCTGCAGACAGCACCCGACCAGGGGGAGTGTGCAACAGCGTTGTTCACTGTGCTGAAAGAGATCATCAGAAAGAAAGCTGCTGATGGCGCAGCTGAGGATTTAGCCTGATAAGATAAGGTGTTTTCTGGTGAGTTTAGTGGTATTTTCCCTCCTTTTTTCTCAGCTCTTTTTCCCTGTGAAAAGTGGCATTTCTACATTCATTTGATCACTTTATAAGAAATCGAGTAATATAAAGTATGTTTTAATACCCTAAACTAATAAATGACTTCAGCTCCTTTTAAGGGTACTGAAAAAATAAGTATTACATAAATTTAAATTTTTCTTAAAACTTCCACTCACATGGTTCCTAGACCTCCAAACACTTTTCATTTCATACTTCTGCGGCTCTGTGTAGGACTGAGTGGAAAGATTCAGTATAATAGCTCCTCTCAAGTTAACCAGCTTTTACCGCACCCTCGGCTCAGCTGTGTTTGACATTCCCATCTGTGACTCTGACCACTGGAAGCCCGCCTCACTGCTCTAGGAGCTTCCAGAGGACACAAAATGTGTCTTGTAGGCCACCATATCCTTAGCACCTGCAGGTGCCTGGCATCGAACAGGTGCTCAGTAAGTATTAGCTGAAGAAAGGACTGAATGAATGCTCCAAAGACAGGGGCCAGAAGGGTAGAGTCGAGGGGGCAGGGCAGAGACCACCTTTAAGGGATCTAGGTCTTCAGCACAGGACAGAGCCAATCTGGCCCTTTAACTGGGGTGTGTGGGACCACATTCTATAAAGTGTAATCCCAGGAAGAACAGACTTTCAAAGCAGAACACCATCCTCCCTCCTTAACCCTACCAGTAAGGGCAAAAGCCAACTCCCCTATGCCCAGTGGGTGTTAGTTCTGGGCCAAGACTGGGGGTGGTGCTAGACCACAGGATACCTGAGGATCTCTTTTCCAGGGTGAGGTGGTCCCTCAAAGATCTTGACTGAGGGAGCAAGGGCTTGCACAGAGGGGTGGGTGGGCCAGAGGGTGAAGCTGGAGTACCCCTCCCCCTGGGGAAGGGCCAGCCAGAGATATCATGGGGTTGGGAGGAGGCCACGCTTCTCCTGGCCGGGGGCCCTGCCCCTCACCAGCCTCCACTCTCTATTTCTGCATGTCACACTGCAGCAGCAGCACGATGGATGGGTCGCTCTTGGCCGCCTCCTTGAACTCCTCCAGAGTAATCTGGTCATCCTTATCCTGGTCCATCTTCTTGAAGATCTTGTCTACACGCTGCTGGGGTGTGAGCCCATCCTGGTTCATGCGCATCATGATCACGGTGCCCACCATCTTGTAGATAGCCTGGTGAGGCACAGGGGGCAGGGAGGATTGGGGGTCAACGGTGGGGGTTTGGGAGGGGACAGAGAGAACACTGGGAAATGTTGAGGATGCTGGCAGGTGATATGCAGTCATTCGGATGGTTTATTCAATGAGCATCTCAAACTACTCTTTCTGAAACCCAACTCTTCACTTCCAACCTGCTCCTCCCCAGGCATTCCCTGTCTCAGGAAATAGCAGGTTCATTCTTTTGGTTGTTCAGACCAAAAACCTTGACACCATTTTTGACTATCCTTCTCTCACACCCACATCCAATCCTTCAGCCGACCTCGTCAGCCCTGATTTTGCAATAAATCGCATATCTAACTACTTCCACTGAGTGACTCTCCACGGTGGTTACCTCCATCAGCTGCTGACTGGGCTTCCGTGGAAGTGGAAGCCTCCTAACCAGTCTCCTTGCTTCTGATGCTCTCCCCTCGCCCCCTAGTCTATTCTCTGTACCAATTGGAGAGAGCCCTGCTTGGCTTCCTGTCACACTCAGCATAGTCAAGTGTCTGCCCCAGGCCATGAGATGCCAAGTGACTGGGCTCCCGGCTGCCTGCCTGACCTCCTTCCTACCACTCTCCCCTTGCTCACCTCTCTCTCCCACCCTGCCCCCCGACCACTCCTTGAATACTGCAAACACAATCTAATCTCGGGGTCTTTGCATTTATTATTCCCCATGCACGGAACCCCCTCCCCAGACGTCTGTGCGGTTGGCTCCCTCACCTTATTCAGGCAGCTGCTCACATTTCGCCTCAGAAAATCGCTTTCTTCCATGCTCTCTCCCTTGTGCTTTGCTTATCTTCTTTGCAACACTTACTGCCTGACATAGCCTAGTTTTGTTGTTGCTTTAAATTTTTCTCACTAGAGAAAATGTCCCATGAAAGCAGGACCTTTGAACAGTGCCTGGCATGTGGCGGGCATTCAATACATATTTGTTGAAAGAATAACGAGCTAAGAGAACTTTGGTTCTGGAGTCAGACTCTCCTGGATTTGAATCGTGAACCACCAGCTGCTACGTTTCCTTATAAAATGGGGTTTCTGACAGTACCTAGCCCCTAGGGTTGGCGGGTAAAGCACTTACCTGTCCAACACCAAGCATCCAACCCATGCTACTTAGCCACTGAATCCTGCGAGGCGGGATGGGGGCTGAGTGGGGGGTGCTGGGGAGGCCCCGGAGGGCCCGGAGGAGCGTGGCCAGAGACCGTGGCACCAGAGAAGGGCCCGGCTGCGAAGACAGGGGGCGCGCCACCCCAGCACATCCCGGCCTCTAGGATCCAACCCCAGCCAGCGCACCTCGATGATCTCCAGCATCTCCAGGCGCGTGATGCGCCCGTCGCCGTCCAGGTCGTACATCTCAAAGGCCCAGTTGAGTTTCTGCTCGAAGCTGCCGCGGGAAGTGACCGAAAGGGCGCAGATGAACTCCCGGAAGTCGATAGTGCCGTCGCCGTTCTTGTCGAAGGTGCGGAAGGCGTGCTGGGCAAACTTGGAGGCGTCGCCGTAGGGGAAGAACTGAGGCGGGGACGCGGGGAGGTCGGCGCTCAGCGGCAGCCCCCGCTGCGCCTCCGGCCCGCCCCCTGGGTGCCTGGCCCCGCCCCCGCCCGCGCGCCCTGGCCCGCCCACCTTGATGTAGAGCTGCTGGAACTCCTCCAGGTTGAGGATGCCGCTGGGGCAGTCCTTCAGGAAGCCCTTGTACCACTGCTTCAGCTCCTGCTCGCTGAACTCGGTGTTCTGGACCAGGTCCTCCAGCACCTCTGGGGCCAGCTTGCTGTTGGTCTTCCCCATGGCGGGGCCTGGGGGACAGGCGAAAGGCCCTCACCTCAGCAGCGGTCCTCCAAGTCTGTAAACCAGGGTTCCCTTTCTCTACAACAGCCTCCACCCGTAGCAAACCCACATTCCCACAGCCAGGATCCCTCCTTCCACAGCAGGGTAGTATCCTCTCACCACCACGCTCAACAAGCCCCATCCTCCCACAGCTGGGCTCCATCCTTCACCCATCCCTTCCCACGGGATTTTGCACCTCCCCTCTCCACCCCGTCCCCCACAACACCGGAGGAGGGGTCCCTTCCCCTCATTACTCTCCCCCATAAAAGGGCCTCCACAGAGCAGGCCGCTCCTCTCTCCTCCGGCAGGTTTCTGCTCCTGGCACCCAGGATCCCTATAGCCTTTCGGGTCTCAGCTCTCCCCCTTTTCACGGACAGGTGCTGCGTGCCACATCCTTCGTCCTCTCCTCTCCTGTGTAACCTTCCGTAGCTCCCCACGCCCATAGACCACAGTCTTAATTCCCTCCTTGCTTTTCAGATCTTTCACACTCAGCGCCACCTGCCTCTCAGGCTCCTCTCCTACCAGGGACCTGAGGCGGGCTCCTCACGTGTCCCCACTGGCACCATCTCCCAAGTCCTCCCTCGAGGCCTTCCAGGCCATCCAAGCAGGAAGCTTCTCTCCCACTTCCTTCTGTACAAACAGGAGTCCTAGCTGGTAGCACTGATGGCCCTGACTACACCCATCTTTTCATTAGTTCCCTCATTCCCTGAACATGGTTGAGGCTGACTGTGTGGCAGGCCCTGCGCCAGTCATGTGGATAAAGTAGACACGAGCCAACTTTCAATAACTCGTATTTAGGTCAAAGAGGTAGGTGGCTGATTGTAAAGGACCTTCAATCCATGCCAAGGAGTTTGGCCTTTACCCAGAGGGGACAGAAGCTCTTGGGGTTTTAAAGCAAGGGCTAGGAAGACAGCATTCATTCCACAACCCTTACAGAATGCGTCCAGTATGGCAGGTCCTGAACTAGGTACTGGGGACCCGGGGAGAAAGACTGTGTTTTAGAAGTTTTCCTTTGGCTACAGTGTGCAAATGGCCTGGGTGGGGGTGGTAGGGAGAGCAGAGAAGGGCCTGCTGCACAGTGCGGGTGAGAGGTGAGGGTGCTGAGGTGAGAGCTGTGAAGAGATGGGGATGGGCTGAGAGCTGTTAGGAGTGGGCATTGGCAGGACTTGGTGACTGAATGGAGTTTGGGCAGATGCTCAGATCTGGAGTTGAGTGGATTTGGGGGTGGATGAAGAGTCAGTCCTCAGCTGGAACATGAGCCCCTTGGGCAGCCTGTGTTAGGAGAAGTGTTTGCAGAGGAGAGTACAGCCCTTTCCAGGAAGCCTGGCCAGAGTGATACTGCACCAAGCCCTGGAGGCTGGGTGGACAGTCTGTCTGAATTCCATGGGAGGAATGTCTCTCCAGAGCTTGAGTTTCCCAAGACATGGCCTGGGAGGAGACCTTGACCTGCCTGGAGTCTTCGGAATGGCACCAGACTCCAACCCCAGGACAGTCTGTCATGAAGACACTCTGGAAAAGGAAGCCCTCGGGTCAGCAGAAGGAATGCCATTTTTACAGCCCAGCCCAGGTTAGTGTGGCTGCTAATCTTTGTTGCTGGGAACTCCACAACCAGAAATTGGTCTGTTCCATACCCCCTCCCTTGCTGCATGACCTCAAGTTAGTTACAGGATATCTATGAGCCTCAGATTATTCTCATGGGCCAGGAGGAAGATCAAGGAGTAGTGGGGGTAGCTACATCCTCCCCCACCTACCACCCTCAGAGGATGAGGAATCCTATATGCCCCCAGGAGAAGCCAGGGAACAGGATGCATGCAGGAACCTGGAAATGTGGGGTTCAAAACAGCTGTACTGGAACCAGAGTCAAGGACATCTCTGAAACACCATGGGCAGAAGGAGGCAGGCTCCAAACCCAGCAGCTCCCTCCTCAAGTCCAAAGCACAATGAAGACTCGGGGTATAGTCAAAGAAGCAGAGAACCCAGAGGTGGAGGTGCCTGATGGGCGAGGCAGAGCCCCTGTCGCTGTCTCCTGTGAAATGCGCCTGAGTGTCTGCACGAGGTGCGGGATGTGGGTGGCAACACGCCAACGCACGAGACTGCAGATCTGTCAGAGCGCACAGTCACTGTGTGCCGTAGTGTCTGTGTGGCTCCCGCCTTCTGCCCTTTTTCTCCCCCCTCCCACAATTCTCTGACTGGGGCTATACCTGTTCCTGGCCCCCATTCAGCCCCAGGCCCACTGAGGACTCAGTCTCCTCCTTCATCTCTCCTTATTTCCTCTAGCTCTCCGATCAGCAGGTCAAAGCTGGCAGTGCCCTTTAAGATCATCCCCTTATGGTAGTGAAAATGCAGAGAGTTACACAGCGGGTCAGTGGCAGGGCCTAGATAAGCACCTAAGCTGAATCCATGCTACTGCCTGAACCACGCCCTCCAAATCATGGCTACTCTTGTCCAGTTCAAGCCTTCCCCACTCCTACTTGTCTTTTGGGGAAACCATAGTTTTGATCTCCCTCTTAGCCTCAGTGAGACCATCTTGCTGAGCTCCAGGCGATGGTGTCTGACACCCAGGAAATAGCCACCCCTTGGGGTAGCCCACCAGCACCTCTAACCCAGCACATCTACAACCAAACTCATCTTCAACCTATCCATTGCCCCTTCCTTCCCCCTCATCACAAGGGGGAAATGCCATGTTAATTACCTTTAGTTTTCCCCTCTCCCTTTTCCCAAGGTCCAACTTGCCACCAAATCCTATTATTCCTTCTTTTGAAGTGCTCAAAGAAACATCATTGTGTTCATTCTCTCGCCATAGTCAGGGCCAGAGGCACAGCCAAGGGCTCTGAAGTCCAGCTGGGACCCTGCTGGGCAAGCCATGCCCGGAGACTCAATTGCCACAGAGGAAGTGCCTTTCCTCTGACTCCTCTCTTCCAAGAGAATGTCTTTCCTGGTTTTGCCCAGAAGTACAATAGAGGCAAGAGGTGGCCATGTCCACAGTCCCCCTCAAACTCCAGAATCCTCTAGAATCTGGTGTCAAGGTGCCCACCTGTCTAGCCTCACCTGTCACGGCTCCCCTCACAACTATATACTCCTTTCAAGCCAAGCCTCTCACAGCCAGAACCTAGCTCACCTATTGCTTACCTGGTTTCCTCTCCCCTAATACCTTTCCTTCTTTCCTGGACTCACGCAGCTATAATCAGCCTGCAGGCCTGGACAGTCAGCAGCATAGAAGCAGCACTTCGGGCATGAGTAGACCTGTGAGGCTATGGGGTTGAGCCCCACAACTATGGAGATGTCAGAGCTCTCTGAGCCTCACCTGGAGCTCTAAGAATTCTACAGTGGAGCCTGATTTGGGAGAGGCCTCTGCATTAAACCTTTGCCTCAGCCATAAAAAGTTCTCCAGACCTTTTTGCTCAATGGCAAAGCTTATCCCCTCCCGATACAACCCAGTCCACTTTGGAGAAGCTCGAAGAATGAGAAAAGTGCTCTTTTTATTGTTCCTAAGTTTGTCTTCTTGCAGCTGCCCCACACGTGTTCCCACTCTGTCCCTCTGTGGCTGCTCAGAACTGCCCTGCAGAGACATAGGGGCTGTGCCCAGAACCCAGTGATGTTCAGTGAATATCCCTGGGTGGATCACATGAGGGACAGAACCCTGTCTTCCTCGGTAGAACAGCATCAGGCTATTTTATCTGCGTTCTCCTGCCATTGCACCAACTTCAGAGACAATGTAAGCCAGACCGGGCAGAAGGAAGGGTTCACCCAAGGTAAAGCAGAGCCCATCAGCAGCAAGGCGAAGGCCAGAACGCACTGGGGGCATGTTCTGTTGGCACTGTAGCCCTGCTGATTGTGCGCAGGCTCCTCTGCTTACCTCTTGTGGGCTGCCCTCCAGCTGTGAAGGAACTGGCATAAGGCCATGCACAAAACCACTGCCCTGTGTGCCCAGAGGCTTCTTCCAGAGGGCAGAGTTCAGGGCTGTGGGCTTAAAATGGGGAGACGGCAGTGAGGGTGGGAGGGACTGAGGGATGCGATAATCCCACACCCTCACCGAGCTTCAGAGAAGCTGGTGCTGAGATGGTTGCCATGGTGACAACAGCTCCCTGGTCAGGAGATTTTTCTCTCTTTCTTCTCCTTCTTTTGCTCTTCTCCAAGCAGCAGCCATAGTGGCAGCAGCCAGGTCTTCTTCCTCTCCTTGCTAGTGAGAGGCAGGGGATAATAAACAGTGTGGATCCTGTTGGCCACCTCTACCTGGGAGCTGTCCATGCCATTTGGGCTGCTGGTCTAGGAGGGACTCCTACCAGCCGAGAAGGGGCCCAGGCTTGGGGAGTGTGTGTATGTGGGAGGTAGGAGATGGCTGGGACCTAGGCCTGTGTAAGAAGCAATGTCTCTTCAGTGAGAACTAAAGCTCCCAGGCCTCCTCTTTGAAACATCCTCATGACTCAGAGATAGAGGGAAAGGGTCCTGTTTTCTCATAATCAGCTGTAGAACCAGAGTGTGTCACTGTTTGAGGGCTGTTCAAGATCATCTCATCCAGGCCACCCTTAGTCTCACCCCTTCCTCATTTCATGAAGGATCAGAGAGGGAAATGACTTGGGCAAAGCCAGACAGCACTGAGGCAAAGGCAAGATTTGAACCCAGCTTTTCTTACCCCCAGGAGCAACATAGTCCGCATGGAGCTTTGGCATAGCCCTGCAGAGCAGCAGGAAGATAGGAACTCAGAGGGAGTGAATGGGTACAAGAAGGCCAGAGAAGGTACAAATTAGAAAGATATTCGATAGGAAAAATGAGAGGACTTGGCGCTTTGGCTCTGAGGGGTGAGGGGAATGGAGGAGGCTGGGACCTTTGCAGCATTGATTGACAGGTATGGGTGGTCTGCTGGGCCGTGGAGCCCCTGGTTCATCCTTCCGCTAGGATACAAGAGGCCAAACATGGGGTCTCTGCCTAGCACTGAGACCATGGAGAGGGGATGCTGTTGAGAGAATGTTGTGAGAAGGCAGAAGGGAGGGTTGGAGTTTTTTAAGAGGGGGAGGAGCTGAGCTGCTGGTGGGGCTGGGTGATGTGGGTGGGGGCTATCGACGGAGGTGGGAGGTTGCTATGGGACTAAGTGGATTACCTATCTGCAAAGGAGGGAGGTTGACTGGTGCCTCCTCTAGTACCAGCAACACTGCACCCCCAGGTGTGTGTGTGTGGGTGTGTTGGGGGCCAGAGCCGTGGTTGTTCTTACCTGAGCTAGGGATAAGGAAGCAGCTCTGCCCCCTTTCCTGGGACCCACGGGACCTGGACTTGGGTGGGGGTCCGCCCTCCAGGTGCTTCACTCTATGGCAGAACCTGGGGTCAGGGAGATGAATCAGAGCGGGCAGGACACGAGGCTGAAAATAGAGAGTGGAGGGTGAGGGGACAAAGGCCTCCGCCCAGGCCCACCCGCGTTTACCTGAGGCCGCTCGCCGAGTCGCTGGATGGCTCCGAGCCTCAGCCGGCCTCGGGGACCAAGACTGGCTCGCAGGTTGGCGGCCAGATTCTCCAAGGTCCGCGCCGGAGACGCCTCCCAGCTCTTGAATCACTAAGTGTCTCTCGGAGGCAACACGATTTGTATAAACCCCGCCTCACCCCGGGCAGGTTGGGCGTTGATTGGTTCCTCTGGGGCAGAGTGGCAGGCGGAGTTTCAGGTGGGGACCCAGCGGCCAGTGAGGCCCGGCTGCAGGAGCGCGCCCCGCCCGCCCGCGCTGACCTTCCCGGAGTCGTGAGGAAGGAGAGGGCTGTAACCCCCTCAGTAGCCCCCCTCGAGGCTCAGACCCCGGGCCACAGTCTGGGGTGAGAAGTGTCGACGATTGAAGTGGATTCTCAAAAAAACAACCGCACGGTTGCTATGGAAACGGGAGAGCCACAGCCTAGTCTCTAAGCCTTCCTTTGCTGGGCCCCAGCGGGGGTGGGGATGGAAGAGGGGATGAGTCACAGTATGTGCCCCCCTCCATATCCCACCCGAATTCGGAGGAAGGCGAAGAGCGGTGCCGAGGAGCTGAGTAGGGGAGGGAGGAGATGGGATGGTCAGCGACCCACGCCCTCGCCATCACCCCTCCATCACGCTCACTCCCCTCGCGCCTTGAAACGGAAGAGGAGGGTGGGCGGGCGCGGGGAGCCCAGCACGAATGGCGAAGGAACCAGCCTCTCCGGCTCCGCGCCAGTCGTGGGCTCCGCAAACCCCTCTTTCCAAGCCCTGCCCAGACGGCGGTGCTTGTGTCCCGCGGAAGCCCCGAAGACCTCTCGGGATCTCCCCTAAAAGGACCCCTCTGCCTATCCTATAGACCCCTTCACTCCCCCACCCTCCCATCTCCCCGTCCCTAGTCGGAGCCGGTCCCCAGCTGCCGCCAGTCTCCGGCCTCGGATGTTGACACAAACCCGAGGCGGTTTACACTGAGCGGGTCTGGAAGGTTTCAGGGCCCCGGGAACTCCTCCTCCCCGCACTCGAGGGTCTCCCTTAAGTTCGGCCGCGCCGCCCCGCTGCAATGGCAGCTGAGAACGCCCGACCCAGGGCTGTGAGAAAACTCTTTTATTCCAAATTGGGGGCGAAAGGAGGAGCAGAAAGTCTCCCGCTGGGCCACGTGCAGGGAAGGGATTTCTAAGCAGCTGTCAAAAGTGGGGCGGGGCATCTGGGGCATTGGTCCAATGGGAGCGGGAATGCCCAAGAGCGGCGGTGAAAGAGGCGGGGCTTCTGCCGAAAGAGCGAAAGTTGAGGTGGCCTGGCCGATAGCAGGGTAGAGGAGCTGCAGGCCAAGGGTGGTGGCGAAGCTTCTCTGGCTGGTCCCAGAAACTCCCGGTCCAGGCTCGCTGAAGAGCAACCAGTGAGTCCCTCCCCTCCCCTTCCTCCCCTTCCCCCCCTTCCCTCTCCCTTCTCCCTTTCCCTCTCCCCCTCCCCCTCCCTCTCCCGTCGGAACAGTCCCATTTCTCTTTGAATCCATTTTGCTGTCCCATTCTCCCGGATGCAGGCTATGTCTTCTCTCTGGGGCCTGGGGCCCTAGCAGCAGCTCCATTAGCAGACAAATCCCTGGCCACTTTGGTTGGTGACTCAAGAGGGACAGGTGTTTGAAAGCCCTGACTCTGTCACTTCCTGAACACCTTCTCTGCTCTGGACCAGAAGTCATCCTTGCTCACAAAAACACCCCAAGACCTGAGCAAGTGGGGAGAGACATTCCGGGATGCTGGAAGTGGCATTGGAAATTCCATGGGTCCCTTTTTGCCAATGATGCCATGCATGACCACAAGCAAAATCTTTCTTTCTCTGGGCTCTCAGCCTGTAAAATGTGAAAGCTGGTATGGGAGTCCCAGGGCAGCAAGGTGGAGAAAGGCTGTCACCCTGAACAGAAGTATGTGGGCACGAATCCGATTGCTCCACTACACTGTTGAGCTTCTTAGCAATAACTAACATAATTGAGAATGTCCTTGTGTCAGGCATTATTGTAGCACTTTATACATATGCCTTAATTTATTTTCCTCTTAAGAAATCTATGAAGCAGGTACTGTTATTACTCCCATTTAACAGATAAGGAAATTGAGGCTCAAAGCAGTTGACTAGCCCAAGTTCACATAGTTGATAAAGCTGCAGAGCTGGGATTTGAATCCAAGCAGTCTGGCTCCAACCAGTACATAATGCTGCCTCTCTTTTAAGGTCCTTCAAGCCCTTATGAGGAATGACCTTGGATTGAAATATTCCTTCTGATACCCCAAAGCATTAGAAAGGCAAAGCCCAGCCTCCTGGGAGCAGCTTCTCTGTCTCAGGCCAACAAGACATGGGATTCCAACAGGAGCAGTAGAGCTGGTAGTAAGTAGAGCGCCCGTGTGTGCTTCTCCTGACGTCCCCACCCTGGTCCTGGAATCTAGCATGTGATCCAGGAATCCCAGGTAAGCAGGGGAAGGAAGAAGGCAAGGGGCAGTTGGTGAGGCAGGAAATATTGGTTCAGTTCTAGCTCTTTAAATCAGGCAGGATCACCCATGAATCTTCTCAGGGCCTGTGACTGTTTCTGAACTGCCAGTTGTAACCCATCTTCACCTGCTCATAACACTTGAGACCCTGATCTTGACACTGCCCCTGCTCTTTAGGCTTGATGTTTACAACAATAGCAGCTGACCTTGACTGAATGGCTTCACTATGTACCAGACTCTCTGCCAAGACCTTTATCTGCATCATCTCCATTCCAGAGATGACCACTGCCAAGGGTGATATTAAAAATATCTAACAACTCTTGCCCTGACCAGGTGGCTCATTTAGTTGGAGCGTCATCCTGTGCACCAAAAGGTTTCAGGTTCTGTTACTGGCCAGGGCACATACTTAGGTTGTGGGTTCAATCCCCAGCAGGGGCGTGTAGGGGAGGCAGCCAATCGATGTTTCTCTCTGTTCCCACCATTTCCCTTCCTCTCTCTCTAAAATCAATAAACATATCCTTCAGTGAGGATTAAAAAATATGTACATCTAACAATTCTCTTCAGGCATGAGCATTACCAGTCAGGACAGATGCCCGATGCCCTGCCTTAGTGCTAGATCAAGGACTTAGTAGGTTTTTGTTCTGCCAAGAGTTAATATGTTGGTTAATGGATCAAGGGGAGCTAAGCTAAGGAGGTAGGGGACCATGGGCTTCTGCTAACTGTTTACCAGTCAATTTGGAAGGTATTTTGATATTTTGACAACCAGTTCAGCTGTATGAGTGCATAGGGACTGAATTTCAGCCCTGGTATCATTACTTTATTTCATGGCAGTACACAGAGGCTCAGAGAGGTTCGACAACTTGCCCATTGTAACACAGCCAGTTAGCGACAAAGTTGGGATGGCAACCTGAGCCTGACTCCAGAGTCCACACTCTTAACTGTGACTGATCTGTGTTCCTGAGAAGGGGCAGTGTCCAGGACAGAGCTGGAGTTTCCACTTTTCTGCAGCTAACGGCTGAGCTCAAGTAATGCATTTTAGGTTCTGGAGCTTTGTTGTGCCTTGTTGTTCTCAGGCTTGGAGACTTGGCAACACTTGTTCCACACTGTTGAAGGAATGGGCACTGCAGAGTGAGGTCAGAGCAGCTTCATGGAAGAAGAAACAGCGTGGTTGTGTGGATGGCTCTAAAAAAGGGCAAGAAGGGAATTGAGCCCAGCAGGGTTTTCAGTGAGAGCAGAGGTCTGCAGTCAGTGGCCACTTCAACTGGCTTCACGGAAGGGCCAGCATTCCCCCTCTCTTTGGTCGCTAACAGTGTCTTTATGATGGATAATGCCTTCCTGACTCCCTCCCTGGGTTTCCTCAGCCTTGGCTAGTGCAGCCTGGTGACAGCTGGAATTCCCCTGGGTCCTAGATATTTCAGTCTTCTTTGTGTCTGGGAGACAGTGAGAGCACCGGCTTTGGTCTCCTTCCCTTTTTTCTATTAGCTAAGCAGGATTTTCTTTAACTTTCCAAAATAGAAATTTCTCTATTATCTTTTTTTGGAAAGGGAGGTCTGGTTAATACGTGGAGGCTAAAAAAAATGATACAGAGAGTAGAAGTTCCCACAATTCCTCCCTTGAGCTTTACTTGCAGGGGGCCTTGTATCTTTGCCTGCTCTGCCTTCATTCCCCTCCTGCTGCTGAAGCCCTATAGTGTAGTGGGAAAAGCGCACAGACTCCGGAGCCAAGTTGCCTGGGTTTGCATCCCAGCTCATCACTTACCAGCTGTGTGACCACAGGCAGGTTACTTTACCTCTCTGTGTCTTAATTTTATCATCTGCAAAATAGGGATAATAATAACAGCACCTATTTCAAAGGGCTACTTTGGAGATTAAAATGAGTTGATATATGCAAAGTGCTTAGAACAGATTTTGCTTTAGGGAATTACCTAGCCTGCTTCATGTACAGTCTTGGGAGACTATCAATCCAGGTGTCCTGCCTTCCTGTGGGCAAGGATTGGGCATGAGGCTTATATAAGGCTCAGTGGACTCTCTTTCTTTCCTTCTTGCCTAAGCTAATCTGAATCTTGAGTAAAGTGACTCAGGTGTAGTAGATGGTTAGCACTGGTTTATTATAGGGCAGTGCCCTGATGACACCACTGTCTGTTCATTCCCATTGTCTGAATTCCCAGGGACCACTCAGGTACATGTTCTTTCCAATACCTGCTTCTTCTGTTTTCCCTTTGGCTCTGTGAGCCACTGTACATCCCTCCACCCTAATTTTTCTTTTCTTTCTTTCTTTCTTTCTTTCTTTCTTTCTTTCTTTCTCTAAGATATTTAAAGGTGACTTCTGTTTGCCTGCAGAAAACACATATGAATTTGATATATTTCTATATCATTTATGACTCTTGGTTGCAAGTGACAGAAAAATCTAGCCCACATGAGTTAAGCAAGAAGAGGATGTAGTGGCTCAAATAAGAGAAAACCCCAGGAGCAGACTGGACTTTAGAGATGGCTGAATTCAGGAGCTTAAACAATGAGATTGACATGTGACCTCTTTCCAGGTCTTTGTTCCACATAAAGGCAAGATATCTGCCAGCATCTCCAGGCCAACATACTCTCAGGTTAGAGTCCCACAGAGAAGAAGAGAGCTTCTC